ATAATTGATTTCGTTATTGACATGTCGGTTCACACTGACTATGTTTCTCTGTTTATTTCCGTTCCCGTTAACAACATTCCGTACTGAACGAACAAATTCGCTGGTAAATTCTGTGCTCGAAAATCCGTTCGTTCGATGTAAAAGTCGCGGAGTTTAACGTCGAAGAGAAAATCTGTGGCGCATATAGAGGATCAGGTGGACGTTCGAGCGTTTGTGAGAGAGACACGGTTGAGCGTAGCCCTCTGATGGCGAGTGCAGGAACTGTCGCCACGGGACTAAATCGTTAAAAGAAATCGATTGAGCTTGGAAGAATACTATATTAGGTCGGACAAAAAATTGTTTTCCTCTATACGAAGTTTTCACCAAAGATTAACCATTTATCGGTCAAGCGTGACAACGAACTAAAGCAGTATCTTTACTTATTTTCCTTCCGAGTAACATATGGAAATATTTCCCGTATCGGTTCGACGCCATTCCTTTCCAAGCCGATGTTTCACGATAAGACTTTATTAACAATGACGGACGAACCTACGGCGACAGTAAACCACGGGGCATACCGATCGTTTCGACCATTTGCAACCTTTATCGTAGATCAATTCAGTCGGGCGAATATCATTCCCGGGAGGTGTAAAGTAGCATCAACGCGGGAGATTGGAAATAAATAGCCTTTAAAGGCGGCTATACTCTATCGCGAAGTATCAGTGGCGTCGATACCTAAATGTCAAGTAGTTGAGGGCTTCGACGTCGTTTCCTCTGGCGAACGGGAACATCTTCCGTGAATTTGTTTCGTACCCTTTCCGATTGACGAGAGAAATTACCGAGGTCGTTCGAATCGATTCGGTTCTCCTCGAAATACGCGTACACTGCTAAGTGCTGGAATCAGGGTGACAAGCATTGTGCAAGGGTCGTCGTTATCGGCTGAGTGGGTCACATTTTTCAGGGTGAACTGAACCCACTCTTCTTTCGTATAAAAGTATAACAATCACAATAATCATCGCAACAGCCACAAGTACTACAACAACAACAATCGTGACAATAATCGTCACATAAATCACAACGACAATAACATCTACAAGTATATCGAGTCAATGTGAGTTATATGTTTCTACCAACTCGATTATTGTGAAAAAATATTCCGATGTTTCGTTTGAAGGGATCAAGTAGACCGTAAAATCGTAACAATCGAGAGATTCGTAGAACAAAAATGACCGTCGAATGTTCGATACGGACGTATCTTTATTTTTAAAACAATGGAGTTATCCAAGGTATATACGAGTACGTAGAGGTTTGCTCGTATATGGGCGGGAGTATGGAAAGTGACGACGATAAAATCGGAGGCATCGACACGCCGCGTCTGTCGTGACGTCGATTAAGCGTGTTATGAAGTAGAAAGAATTCGGTGGTAGGCAGAAGAGAAGCGGGGATCGTTCCGATGAAAGATAAAATAAGCAAGAAAATGCGAACGAATCCGCGAGAAGCAGTAAAGAGCTGTCAGCGTCAGGATTCGAGTAGGAAATACCCCGGGCATTGAACGAGAATGACAAATTCGTCAATACCGTTCTTGCATCGACAATCGTGTCCTCCAAATTCTTTATTTTTAAGTATCCCGCTTTTCATTCGGATCGAGACGCTCTTCAAAGCCTGTCACCGAGGGGGTATCTTGAAAATTTAAGCGAAATCGTCGTCGATCGCGCCACGCTCGGCGCTTTTTCTATTATATTTCAAAGTGTCCGTAAGGTCGAACGAAACAAATACGGCCGTTACACGGAACAACGACGGAAGTACTTCGTTCGCAAATTCGCGAAAAAGTGCCAACGAACCGCTAATGGATACACACGAACGGTTCGAGCACAAAATTTGCTGTTTAAATGTTCGGAATGTTCAACCACGCGAGTTCGAATCTGTACGGTATTAAAGGCACTTTAACGTCGAAAAAGTACTGGAGCGAGATGACAGTAAAATAACTGGTGCGTAAAAATACTCCATATTTAACGGAATAGAGGGTGCGAAACATTTATACTGTTTGTGTACTTAAAAAAAAAAAAAAAAAAAAAAAATTAACTCACCTTTACGCGTATTTATCATAGAGAGCTATTTCGAAAATGATCGGGTTTTGGCAATTCCAAAGCGACAGAATCGCGAATAGTTTTCAACGTATCAATTTGCATCAGCCGCCGATTGTAGGGGGTGATTGGGCGGTGAGATTGAAACGATAATATACCCTGGTGTAATAATCCAAAGGTGCGCTAAATTGGTAGGAACTGGGAGCATTGTGGGTATAATTTAGTCTGCAGAATAAAAAAATATAGCAATAATGTTCTTTTCAAATATTCTTTATTATATATCCAATAAGATATCAGAAGGTTAAAACTTTGGTAGTTTCGCCTTTTAATCTTAAGTTTACAGCAGTTAAAATGTATATGTCTCTTATTTTTAATCGTTCTATAAACCTGTAATGTTCCATAAAAATCGGGAATAGTCGTTTCGCGAATGTTCCTCATTCTTGCCGGAAATTAAATTCTTCTTCTGCCTCAGACTATCTGGTACCTTTGCTAATTTTACGGTGCCCCATAATTTCCGAATTATTTCGTAGATTAGAGACGTAAATTGCACGTTTTATCAAACTGTTAATCAAAAATATCGAAGTTGGTCCAGATGCGGTTTCCTTCGAGAGACGTACAAATATTAGGTTGGTCATTTGAATCGCCAATTCTCCAGTCCATCGGCTATTTGTGAGGCAAATTAGAGCACAGAGTATACAATAAGATTCCATTAAGTGACCTTAAGCTCTCAACCGAGTGCTCAAATGGACGAGCCGACTTCGTGCTACTGTTATTGCAGCCGGAAGACTCGATAAAGTATTCGCACCTTAGAATGTTGTTTGGTGTCATTTCGTAAAACTTTCTATGCCCAGAAAATTCGGAAATATTTAACAGATTGGAGAATATTTTTACAAACGAAGAGGAATTTTAGAGATCAGCCATTTTTCTTTTACTCACAGACCTTGCAGTGGCTGACTAAAACGTCTAATCTTTCTTTCTCACTGCAATACCTCTGCCCTTCTCCTATCATTATATTTTTGTTTCGAAGCAGAAATTTCATTGGTCAAATTTACGATTGGGTATATTATAAATGCATGGTGGTGTACATTTTAAGCCCACGCGACGTACGGATCAATATTTATAATAACTCTAACGGAAGAGTTTTAATTTGCTTGTTTAGGTCTAATCATTGCCCAAGAAAATAAATAGGAAATCAATCAGTCAGTATACTATTCCCTTTGCTTTCTCGATAAACTGTATAAACTTTTCTGAACGTCGAGTCGAAGCAATATGGCCGCGAGGCTTACCGTCCGACTTCTTTGATGCAACAGAGTTCCTTTTCTTATTCGCTTCGTTTATACAACATTTTAAACGCATTTCTTGCAAAGTCAATACCGAATCTACAACCTTGTAACTTGTAACGTCGTCTAACAATTAGTTGAATATTGTTGTTAATAATATTACCGTTTCATGCTAATTTTTGTATATGTTTAGAACATGTACAATTCAATGCTGCAGCGACACAAATACTCCCAATCGGGCCCCAATTTTTATCAGTTCTTATTGATATTCCTTTCGCTCTGCGAATATCTATTTGTGTTGTTTTTCAAGGTTGGTATCGTTAGAGAGGGAAAGCAAGCTTTTAAAATCAGCTGTTCCGCGTTACCGTGTGGTTACCCGGTCGGAAATTTACGTTTGCGAAGTTGGAAATGGCACATTTTGACCAACTCGGACCTTCTGGTGCTAAGGTCCACCCTAATGCACACGAATTCGTCGAACATAATACCGAGGCTTGATAATCACGCTGCGGTATCGTGATCGAACGTCACACGGGTCGTTCGTAAGAGTGGAGAATTGTAGCGCCACCGATATCGAATTGCACTACGCGCATAAATGTTCATACTGGTAATTCGCAACGCAACTGCGACCATATTCTGACTTACGTCGTTTTCAGTAATTTTGTTTACTCGCCAAACTTTACGCCCCTCATACATCGTTGATATATATATAAATCTACATACGTGCGTGCATTATGTTTTTTTTTTATTTTTTTCAGTGAATATAAATTTATTACTTTTTAGGAAAGTTGATTTCCATTTACCAATTTGGTAAAAGTCATCATCTGGTGAAACAATTCAGTTAAGATCTAGAGTCCACTTAAGGGTTAATATTAACCCTCAAGCACACGCGCTTAAGTACTTACCTAGAGACACAACTTTCAAGGTTGCGGTCTTAGTATTTCAGCAGCTTGACAAGGACTAAGGCTACTATGTTGTGGAACTTTTTTCCACTCACCCTTGCCTTGTAGGTATATCACGCATTCTCCGAAGGCCTCGGGTCTCACAGACCCAGTTGTGTGCTCGAGGGTTAATTTTTAGGATTCTGGGAGTAATTAAAGCCCAAGTTGGAATAAGTGCGTTCGTTTTTCTACGTATGAGGCGAGCGTCGGTTAAGGGAAGATTCTTTCCCGGGCGCAGGGTCGAAAGAGGGTGACAAAGGGGTTTGAAAAAAGAGCGAGAGAATGGAATATCCGTGCGGCGCGATAATCTAAAAAGCGCGATAAATTGACACATAGGAATAAGCGGGCGCAAGAAGGGGCTTATGACATCGGTCGGGCGCATCGGCGGTGCTCGATAAGGTCGGTTAAAAAAGGGGTTGAGGAGCCGCAGGAAACAGAAAAGAGGTAGCACGATCGTGCCGATGGAAAAATGAGCAAGGAAGACGATGCAAACGGGTTGTCGGAAGCGTCAGGTGGGGTTTCGGGAGAGTGGGCAAGGAGAGGGTGAGAGTGTCGCGCGCAATTCGAGGATGGTGGGGGTTTATATGGAGTTCGCGTACGGTGGCGCCGACGAAGGACGGTGGGGCTGTTGGCGGTACGCGGCAGGGGGTGGGGAGAACGGTGGTCCGGCGGATACGGACTCAGATAGCGAGCATTGGCTTAGTTTGCTTTCGTTCGTCCTCGCGGAAGGTATACCGGGTAAGCCTCGATCCCGTACTAGTTAGACGCACGTTGCGCTACCGTTTCCCGTCGAGTTCGTTTCCTGTTTTCACGCCAACCGTCGCGCCCGGCGGATGGATACTCGTCTATCGTAAACGTGTGCTAAATGTGATTGTGATACACGAACGATTTTAGCGGCGAGGGGGTATATATACTAGTGCAGTAAGTGTCAAGTGCTACTGGATAGATGATGAATGTGATGATACAGAGCTGGTTCATCGGCGGCCTGTTCCTATTAGGATGCGTTCAAGGTTAGTGCTCGTTCTCTCGATTAATTCCGCCGGACACGTGTGTCGGTTCGGTTCGCGAACATCGGGAACACATCGTCGCGAAATTGTTCCGTTAACGCGTCGATCGCCACGAATTCGTCGTAAATTGGCGTACTCGCAACCGGTACTCCAGATATTGGGATCAGGGACGAGTACAACACCTAACACCATCCTCGTTTACAACGTGGTCGTAAAAAGGATTTTAACGGTAGCTACCGAGATTTAGAGAACCCTGTCTCTGTTGCAGTAATTGGGAGTGATTCGTACGGTAACGATACCATCGGAAATAACCCGAAATACGACGTTCGGGATATTATTTGGAAACTGTTCGATAACATCGGCTCTCGTTAAGTGCATTTCGATCTTGAACTTGACCTGTCGCGCTTCAGGAAGTTTTTTTTGTTTGGCAGCGAGCAGCGCCAAACAGCCCGCTAGACGTTTTATTTATAATCCCGTCCAATGTCGCGACCCTTATCGTCGCGAAGACCGTAAAAGAAAAAGGAGAGAACGTAGCGAGCGTTTTTCACAGTGGATAAACCTTTTTTTTTTCCTTTTTCAAGTATGCGCGAATATGTACGCCCACGTGCGCTATCTTGCCGAGTCTCTGGCAGCGTGCACGAACAGAACAGCGTCGTTAGTTTTCGACGACTGCGAGATGTCGCGTGTTCGCTCGATTCGCGCCAATGGAAACGGTCGAGAGTTTTTTAACGGTCGCTGGTCGCGCATCCACAGACTCTTACGCGACCAAAGCGCCCGGAAACCCCAGGCATTTTACGATAGCGCGTGCTTATCCTTGCCAGACCTCGTCCCGCGATTCTATTCGGTCGTTGTGGTCCCCCTGGTGCGCGAAACTTTCGGATTTTCGTCCTATTTTTGACGAATTTTTTCGTCGCTCGGTCAGTCGACCGTTACTTCCGTTTCGTTTCGTGATCGTAATTCTTTGTTTAGGGGCAGGTTTATTTGGTAGCGTACGGTGGGAATATTTAATTTTACTTCCTGTCGTTCCGTCGAAACAAAGTATTCGAAGACTTTGAAACACACGGAGCATTTATTTTTAACTTCAACGTCAAATGTTTTGGAACGAAAATTTATTTATTGTATTTAGTAATTATGTTTTCTTTTTGTAACAAAATTGTTAAATTTTGGACTATTTAGTAATTATGAGAAACAATACGAACATGCCAGTTTGATATTATTTTTAGAACGAAATGCAAAGAAAAGTGGAAGTTTCGGTGATTTGGGGCCATTATTGGAAACAAAACTACCCATAATTCACTCGGTGAATAGTACCAGATTGTGGGTCACCGTTTCCGAGAAATGGCGCACTTTTTGCGCGGGAGGTGACATAACAATGACCTCGACATTAAACGCAGATGTGCGTAATTTTTTGTACCCAAAGAATGGCATTGTCGAGGAATGCAATTACTTTCGGAACGATGGGCCATAAATCGCCACGCTCGAAATTATGATTTGTTGCGGTTATCGCTTAGTAGATCGAGGTTTTCAAACGCGAAATATTCAGCGCACTTTTTCGTTTACGTATAATATATTTCAATTTAAAGTTACAATAAATTTATTTAAAACATACGCAGGGGCGAAGCTTTCAAAACTTTCGTCCCGAATTTCGCGAAAACAACGCATCGGGCAAAAAAAAGTTTCGAGAAAAAGTTGCTTGATTTATAGGATGTAATATTTTTGTTCGCATTGTAAAAAAACACAAATAAAGAATGGTAAGGTACGTCGCATTATATTATTTGGAAAGTAACGGAGAACATTTAAAAAAATATTATTTTAATATTTTTTAAATCGAACTTTTGTGCGAACCTTCCAAGAAAAAGATACGATTTGATTAATCTGTATATATTTGAGGACCTAACTTTCTAACGAGCCGTGCATATTGGACGTGCTTTTGTTTTGCAACAGAGATCGCAGAGTAAATGCAGTTTAACCACCATAATCATTCGATCTCAATTCAATTATGTATTCTCTGGTGAGATGAGTAGAGAATCCATCGGCGTAAATAAGAATACATTGTAGTTGCCGCGACGTGTAAACAAATTAAATAGGGTAAATAGTGGCTTGTATAACGATGATGTTGTTGCAACGTCTGTTTATTTAATGTGCTGACCAGCATTCGTGGTTCTCTTCAGAAATACCATAGCTTAACTAGGCAACAGAGCTTGCAATTATACGCGAGGAAACTCGTAATATAGACACAACAAATTTCATATACAAAAATTAAAATATAAAATATAATTAATCCGGAAACATGATATATATTTACAAAAGATCCTTCGTTTAATTATTCTAAAAGTCCTTTTATCAGTATATTGTTTGCCTCGGGCGCTTTAATATCGTAATAGACCGTTTATTAATTCTCGTACGGATGTCTGGGTAGACTTGGACAACATAATCTCTCCAAGTACGTTACAAATTCAACAAAATTAATTACAAAATTAATTAACCGTCCATTCACAGATGATTAAAAACGTATGGCGGAACAAGATATTTCTATTTTGTGATTTAAATTTTCATTGCAAAGTTCTTATGCCCTGTGTGATTTTGTGTTACTTCGTTTCGAGAAAAAATAGTAGGCTTCGTACGTTTACGAATTTCGTTAAATTAATTTCTGTAATTCAGATACGCGTTTTAGAAAAGCATGGTTGAGAAGAACGAACCAAATTCTTTTCATTCCAGCAAAGTGCTGCGATTCGAACGGAGTAGAAACGTTTGAAATAATCACGAAATCGTTTCTTTGCCAACGCGAGGATGATAATCAAAGCGGATTCTTGTTCACTTTCAGTTCCAGTTATTCAAAGCGCCTATAGTTAACTTTATCGTTGTACCGTGCGAGGTTTGCCAAAGCACACCCGTACGTATTTTTTCTTAGAATCGTTTCCCTTGAAGCTGGTGCTTCCATTCACTCCGGATCACGTGCTAAACGACCCCCGGTGTGTGCTCGAGGATTCGTGCACGCCGAAAACCGTTGCTCGAAAACGATCCTCTTTAAGCGGATGTGCGCGCGTATTTAAATTGTAAGGTAATTGTCATACCGCGATGCGTCGACATGCGTACTTCCGGTTTCTACCGTTTGCTTTCGAGCATCCGCTAGTAATCCTAGAAATGAACTTGTTTCGCGAAGTTGTTAAGGTTTTATCGTACAGCCCGATTCTGGGGGAAACTGGGACATGCTTGTAGCTTTTTACCCCTCTAATTGTTCGGCTGAACAATTAAAACAGCTCTGATTAGCTAAGGGGCGCTAGATTTACGGGGCATTGCACATGTATTTTTATCGAAATCTTTCTTGCATTGACGATTACATTAAAATACGATTTAACATGGTCTTTTAACGCGCTCTCAAATTGTCTACGAATACGAAACCTCGTTCTTAGATAATTGGACACTGTCTTCAATTTGACGTAGAAGATTATTTTCTTTAATATTCGATCTTGAGTTTCTCCGGAAAGGGTCAGTGTTACAGGAAGTAGACAATCTCAATAAGCTCTACGTTGAGAAGTGTATAGATAGGAATAGAAAGTCGCTCGAGCACTTGCAAGAGAGACAAGAGCGTAGCCCTCTAGTGGCCAGTGCAGCAAGTGTCGCGACATACTCGTAAATTGTTAGAAAATAATGCTTATGCATCCTATAATTTTAAATATGGAATCTGACAGACGGAAATCTAGCGTTAAATAAACTTAAACTGCACGACACGCACCGATATCAGTGTGTCGCTTGATCCTCGAAGAAGTTAACTGCAACGTTGGCGAAACGTGTCGAGGTAGTTTCCTCAAAGGACACGGCTTACACCTGGAAGCCTTAACGCCGAGTATCAACTGTCAGAACTCGGACTGTGAAAGCCACAAATGTCTTATCCTGCTACCTCTGAACCCTCGACCACTATCCACTGTCAAATTCGCGTAGGAAAAGTCAAATTCCCCGCGACGTAACTATATTTATTATCGAGAAATCGATATACGATATACACAAGATCCAAATTTATCGTCTGTAATACGTATTTTTATTTTCAGTCGCGTTATCGTATTTTATAAATAACTAGTTCCGCGGGAGTTAATAAATTCTTAATAATAGACTCGTCAAACGTTTATAACGATGGCCGCATCTACCGGTCGATCTCTCGTGCAGTGCCTGCCCCGATAAGAAAACGTAAGAAATCACGCGGCCGGTTTAACATGTTAAGAAATCTCACTCGTACACAAGACACTTGATAATTCTCTCGTTTGTTTCCACCTCGACCGTATTATTTCATATGTTCGTGCCGAATTTGCATTGGTACTTAACGCGTTGCAGCTACCAGTTAATTCCAGTTTGACGATTTGTCGTCCAACGTCCACCAACGACTAAATAATGGATAATGGGCGCTTGGAACGTTCGAGAAATATTTATAGGTAAATCTTTTACAACTTTGATTCTAGAAAATTATGAACTAGGTACATTATATACTTATTTTCGTAACTAAAATTCCTTAATGCTGTTCAAAATTTTCTTTAACGTTTCAGCTCGAAGAATTAATTGTCTCAGTTAAGAAAATTAAGAAATTTTCGACGAATCACGGACGAGGGAGAAATTGTAGAAATGTCTCGTCCGCCGGGGGCGCGTTCGTTAATATTTTTCAGCCCCGTTATTTTTCACGCTGCGCGGGAGAATTAACAACTTTTTGTTCGCGGCGTATCATTAACTTGCGCCTTGTTAACCAGGTACGAGGAGCTGTCCGGTTTCGTTGGATTTCATTCCGTGCAATCGGCGTACCCGTTAACAAAGCGTAAAGCTGAAATCAACTTTCGTCGCGAAATTCCCCCGGTTCGTCGGGCATTTTCCTTTCCGGGACGAGCGCGGATTGAATTTTAACGCTGCCATTTTGTTCGACGTCGACGCTGACTTGGGCGATTCTAGCGCAAAATGGAGGCATTTTCACGGTCGCGCTGTGGCGACGCGTTTCGACGCGGTTAAACCTATCCCGACGC